CGATGGGGACAGCCACATGTAGCAAAAATATCCCTACCAATCAACAAAACCAAACGTAAAGTATGTAGCAAGATAATATATGCCGACCTCACTTCATAATGCCTGCACACCTCGTGATATGCGCGTGCATAGCTTAGACCTTGTTTGGATGTTATCTGATTTACCTCAATCCACATGGGTTGTGGTGGAATTTAGTCCAAGTTTTACTTCAATCCATCCCAACATATGTGGATTGATGCGAATACGACTACATCCAAACAAAGCCTTAGATGGCATGCCACGCCGTAAAGCGCAGTTCTATTGCACTTTCTGGTGGACGCACAAATGCATGCACGCGATAGATTTCTTTGTTTGATTTGGCGGCCTTCTACCTTTTATTGAAAAGAACGAATGAAAATGATTATACTAATGAATGCACTTTCGAAGATCGCGAATGAAGGTAAGCAATGGGAACATGCAAATGGCTCAGTTTGCAGACTTCTAGCAGTACTGGTTTTCAGTTGCCGATTTTATTTTTAAGACTATGGCAGTAAACAGAGTGACTGAAGTTTTCATGTCACGTATTTTCTTCGGCAATGTTTGGGAGAGAGACTAATAGGAAACATGAGTCCATGGTGTTTCGTGTGTAATAGGAAAAATCGTCAGGATATTTATTTCTTGGTTTCGGATGATAAGCAGTACACACTTACACTCCAATATTTTTTGATAATTCAAATGCTAGCTAGAATATATTTTATTTTTGGTTCTTTTTAAATAATAATGAAAAAAGTTTCCGGACTTTGTGACCACGCACATCTATGTTCTTACAAGATTTTCAGCTAATTTGCTGAAAAAAAAGGAACAAGAACACAAGTAAACAAAGGTGATTACAAGAAAAGTTTATTATTGCTCCTCCATCCATTCTTAATTAGCGAAAATGTCCAATGCAACAATCTCGAGTGCCCGACTCGCTAGTTGGATGGCCTCCTTTGCATCCTCACGCTGCAATAGTGCCCAAAACCGCAGTCAGTATGTTTTCCTGAAGGTAGCCTGTATAAAAGAAAAAAAATCAATTTTTTAAAACTACATCATTTCGTGTACACCAGATAGCCCAGAAAGGAGCGACGACACCCACAAAGATCAATATCCGTTCACTATTCCTAATGTCAGTTCACTAATGATATGAACCTAGGAGAGGTTAATCCAGTAGCTATGTGAATCATATGCCAGATATATATAGTCCTATCATGTTCACAATCAAAGAAGCAGTGTTTGATTGTTTCATTGTAATCATAGAAACAACACTTTTGACTTCCATGCCAATTTCATTTAGCTAAGTTATCTTTTACTGAAATCACCCATCTTTGAAAAATACCAAAGGAAGAACTTTATCTTCAAGGGGAGTTTCAGCTTCCAAATGATTGTATTCATGAAGGGAACCGTGGTTCATTTAATTTGATAATAGTACATAGATCATACTGAAAAAATACCATGTCTATGTTGATCCCAGGAAAAGAAGTCCTTCATATTGTTAAATTGAATATTAACGATTTTAGCTATTAGATTATGCTAAAGAGTCAATATATCCCCCACTAAAGCTCTTTGAAAAGGCATATCAGTAGCATTTGGTTCATAACATGTACCACTATAACATGGGGGGTAATTGACTATGTCACACAAGCTAGGAAATTATTCTTTAAGGGACTTAGAGCCAACCCAATTATTCTCTCAGAATCTATAGTTTGTGAACCATCTCCTATTTTAAAAGTTCCACAACCCAGAAAGTCTTCCCTAACCTTTAAAAGACCTTTCAAAAAAAAAAGAATGACCAGGTTTAATATGAACCTAAACATTTTGAACTCAAATACTTATTTCTATATGTAAGGTCCGTCAGGCTCCTTCTTCATTAAGCAGTTTAAATAACCATTTACTGAGAAGACATTTATTTTTAATCAAGAGATCTGCTATGTCTAGACCATCTTGATTCTTGATCTTTGGTGCGACAAAGAATATCCCACTTGATAAGGCTGTATTTTTGTTTTTAGAAGAATATACTTCTGGATCCATGTTTAACACTAACCAGATACTTAAGCTATAGCATGATAGGCCCTATTTAAGCTATAATACTGTAATACATCTTTGAGAATAGTAATGTATACAAACTTCTGCACTGATTAATAAGCTCACCCACAGCTCAACACATATTGCAGTGCACCAGGAGAAGCACAAGAGGCACATATCTTTGTGTGCCTTCATTTATTGGATAGATGTCGTAGCTAGGAGTAGCAGTATAGAATACGACGCAGCACGGCAGCAGTTGCATTGTGATCACTGATCAGCCAGTGACGGTGCGCATCAGCAGTTGGCCGGCATGGCGAGGCCGCACTTGCCTGGCAACCCCAAGGCGCGGTTGATGTCGATCCCGTAGAACCTCACCCACACGCCGGCGGCGTTCTTGTACCGGCACAGGCATGCCAGGTCGGCCCCCGCCAGCGCGGCACAGCACTCGGCCGACGGCTGGTCCGTCGGGTTGCGGATGGCTGCCGCAGGCTGGCACGCCCGGATGCCGGCGCTCGACAGGTTGCAGACGCCGTGCGCCATCTCGGCCGACACCGCCAGGACCACCAAGACGGTCAGCAGCGCGGCCGTTGCCTCTGCCTTCGCCATGGCTATGGTTATGTATGTGCTCAACTTGTAGCTTTGGGAACTTGTTAGAGGTTGTAGGCTTGTAGCAGGTTTGGCTGCTTCGCAGTTGCGAGGTGAGCGTTCGTTTTGGGGGATCTTATTTATAGCGGAAAAATTGTACTTTTTCTTGTAATCAGCTGCTGCATGGCTGTTTCAGATATTGCTAGTAAAGTGATCTTTGTTGCTCCAACTGGCTGACATAGTGCAAAAAGCCATGGCAAAGCTGTCCTACATACTTTTTCTCAACGTTATTATTAACTGGCTGACAGTGTGTGCATTAGTACAAAAAATTTGTATTGTAAATTTGTTGTCAGTAATTTATTCTACTCAATATGTTTTGCTGATGATATGTTTCCACCATTAGGAATGCCTAAATTACGTTACAAACATCATTGACCTTCTGAGAACATTCTAAATGGAAACAACCTATACTGCCACCCCCCAACATCGTGAAAGGTTCAAAGTATTGCAAGTGTGTCAAAAAGGACAAGTAAGTTTGGACGACTTTCTAAAGTTCAAAGCAAGAAAGGACTTAAGCAAGCCAACTTCGTGTTGAATAAAATAAAATAAAATGGTGAAACGATCCACTTGTGAAGAGTCCTAGCTATAATAAAGGCTTTTGCCAGGGACAGAAGTTCATATATTGGTCCTGTTTGCTGGTCTGAAACTTGCCTGAAACTGGCTGAAAACACTGTTCTGTCTGAAATGTTGTAAGAGAAAAACACTGTTCTGGCTGAAAAAAGAAGCCGAACAAGCCAAATTTCAGACAAGCCGAACGAGGCCATTGTGCTATAATTTTGTTTAAAATCTAATTTTCCTAAGATGTTCGCATTAGTTAAACTTCCACAATATAGGGAATACATTTATCAAAATCAAGTTCCTATAACAAGCTAACTGTAAGATGAGAATAAAATTTAAACAATTTGTGATTGGGTATTTTAATTGTCCCATCGCTGATTTCGTCCATATATATACACCACTGCTGGAGAAAGATCTGCAAAAAAACCCTAATTGCTCAATGCAAATGAGTATGTAGGTCAAAACCATGGTTTTGGTGTACAGTAGCGTTCATAAATGTTAGAGTTCTAGTGGAGTTCCAGAATTTAATAGGCTTTCGTGTAGATTGCAGAAGATCGAAAATCCCAGTCCAAATGTTCTAGTGCCGTGGTGGCGGTGAGCTTGGTCTCCCGTTATTTATTGTAATTCTTTTTTTTGTTCTTTTTTGCTCGTCTAATAAAAATTTGGCAAATCTCTTGCCGTCTTTTAAAAAAAATGTTCTAGTGCCAAACGGCCGACATATGGCTATCTAAATGTATCTGCCGACTCAGTACGTAGTGCTGTTGGCAGTAACCCATGATCCGATAGCTCAGTCGTGCATGCAAGCATAAATGTATCTGCCGACTCAGTACGTAGTGCTGTTGGCAGTAACCCATGATGCGATAGCTCAGTCGTGCATGCAAGCACTGTCATAGAGTCAAAAATACATCCTCCATTCCAAATTATAACATGACAACTATTCCAGTACTTCTTTTTCTAAAAATCGCACAGATCTCAAAGCTGCTCATTCTAATTAATTATTTTCTTATTCGCAAAATAAATTAATTATTTTCTTAATTTTTTCCACCTGGGCCTCGCATGGGTCTGGCATGTCTAAGCCCAGTCCGTGCCCTGCCCAAATGCAATCCTACCTCATCTAGCAAGGCCCAATTGTGAGTGGAATTGAAATATCTTCTAATTGTGTATATTATCCATTGTTTATGTAAACTATTGCTAAGCTGACCTATTATAGATTGCTTAGTGTAGGGGACCGTGACGCCTAAGAGGAGGATGAATTGTACGTGCACTGTGTAAAAAAAGGACATTACATACGCGCGTTGGGACACACTACAGACGCGTTTCGGCACCTCTGCCATAACGCGTATGTAATAAGGTCTTATTACAGACGTGCCAAAAGCACGTCTCTAGTAAGCCCATATTAGAGACGCGTGTCACCAACCCATGACTGTGATTACACAAAACACGCGATTGTGAGAAGAATACACGCGTCTGTGTAAGGAGTTCTCACAGACACGTGTAGTAAACGCGTCTACGATAACCCCTTATCACAGGCGCGCATAGCCAACACGCGTCTGCGATAACCCCTTATCATAGACGCGCATAGCCAACACGCGTCTGTGATAACGATTTACAAAACCAAAAAAAAAAGAAAAACCCCCACTGTCAGGGTCTTATATACATGTCACTTGCTAATTATATACAGTAGTCACTTGCTAATTAGCAATTTCATATTACATGTCCCACCAACATACTCCAAGTAAACCTACTTGCTACTCGAACTAAGATAAGAAGCTCATGATCTTCTTGAAGGAAATATTCAAGTCATTGGATTCTGCTATCTGCCAACCTACATACAGGTATTTGGCAACATACAGGTATGAACAAAAAGTAACAGAAGTACAGGTATCATAGTGTATATACAAGTGATGGTGTAAAAGAGGACAACGAATGATTGGGATTTCCAAGCAAGTACCATGCACATTCTTGTTTTCAATTAACAGTTTAGTCTACAGAAGGATCAGTAAGTCTCAAGAACTGGGTCGCAAGCTGCATATATAAGTTAACAAGAGAGACATCATTTTGGTTCGAAAAATAACCAAACTATGATTCAGAGGTCTGCTGAGCTAAAAGAAATAACAGTGCAGTAAATGGCTATGTGTGGAGAAGAATGCTAACCAATGCAGCGACAATAGTATGACATATCTTTAAAGAGGAAAAGAACTTATCAGTTCAAGTTAACACAAAGAAGGATCCCATTTCCCAAGCAAACTATGATCCTGTCCACTCATGCATGCATATATAAGCTCACTATTTTTTAAAATCAGAGCATAACTGCATTACTGAGGTTACAACAATGCAGAGTATAATTAAAGATCAACAAAATATTATTTCCATGCAGGATATGACTGCTTCTGAATGTTCAGAACTGCATATCCATCACTGAATTTGGATATTATCTATTGTGGCTGCTAAGTAAAGGTCTGTCAAAGGACTTCCGGAGTGGTGCATAAATAGATTCACTTCAACTCAAGCATTTATCAGAATTTAGCAAATTGAGTAGCATAGCAGGTTCACCAACAAGTAACTCTCCCATTTTTTTAAAAAAAGAACAGTACTAATGAGAGATCTTCGTGAATACTAAGGAAAAGTTGAACTGGAGAAACTTGGCAGAGGCGATTAAACAGACCAGCACATACAGCTTTTAGAAGATTGGGGCAAGTTCCTACCTTCTTGCTGCCTTTTTTCCAGCTTCTCTTTTTCCAACTGCAACTTTGCAAGGTCTACTTCCTTCCCCTAGAAAAATAAAAACAGCATTCAGTAAGAGATATGGAAGCTTGTCTTCTCAAAAGGAATAGCTTTCAGTATCCATCTCGCAAAAAAGTATTAAGCACAAGCTTTCTCTATATAGAACCAAAGTACTGAATGTAGCTTAGCATGTTCTACAGGTTTTCATTCACATTTAATATCAGGCACATAACACTGAATTTTTGTGGATAGTGATAAGCTTAATGTACATCGATAGAGCAACTAATTTAAGTTTTGCTTGCTGCATTCACAACTAATTTATGTACATGGATAGACAATAAGGAACATCAAACCCTTTGCTTGTTATGTCCCTTGAAACCAGCAGGAATCCTCTTTCCTTCAGTTCCTGCAAAGGTCACAAAAATCTCAGTCAAATACAGAGAATGAAGATGCTGGGTAAAAACTTCTCGCTACCACGCCAACCAATAGAAACTGGGTGCCGAGTGCTGAGTGCTGTGCGTAAGCCATGTCTACTAGTATACATAGCAGCAAGGCTTAAACAAATATAACCCATTTTGAGTTCTTCCAAGACTCAGAATATACTGTATCCCTTAGTTGAGTTCTTCCACAACTAGTTTGTCTTCCAGATTAGCAAATATGAAGAACAAACTATTAACAAATATGGCTCCACAGATCAGGTGTGTTAACTTGTGCATCCTGCTAAATTTTTAGTACTGAAATTATGACAGCACTACTTAAGTATATCAAAATCAATTACTTAGAGCAATCAATTTATAGTAGTTTGCATGCTAGTATAGTAGTTTGGAAAAGGGGTACCTCACTGATGGCAACTTGGTTCAAATAGCTAGTGGAAGTTGCATCAGGAGTCCAGTAGGCCTGTGCTGACAAACAGGGCAGTGATGGTGTTACCATACCTTGTTTTGAAGTCTGCATGATGGGCCTCCTCACTGAATCCTTCTGCAGCCACCAAATTATTATGTTAATAAGCAGGTTACTTACTTGAATTAGGAATTCCTCACACTAGTTGTTGAGCTTTTCAAACGACTTGGTAACATTGAAATCGTATTGCAGGCAAATCATCAAAAAGGCCTCTGCATCTCACCATCTAAGCTGCTACTGCTCATTTGTCAAATGCAATTTCATCCAAACTACATCTCCCAGCTAAGCGATTTACAAACGTAATGGATCCTCAGCTACGCAATTTCATTCAAATGCAGTTCACACACGTAATGGATCCTCAGCTACGCGAGCCCGCACTCAGTTAGGAAACAAAAGCCTAAGGTTCAGTGTTCACAACCCTCCCAGTGCACGGGAACGCGACGCCAGATCGACAGGCGGCACGAACAGAGGAGAGGATGCAAGAGAGACCGTGAGTGGATCCGATATTCAGCAAAACCGAGGCATGGAGGAGGTTTACGGACCTTGACGATGCGGCGGAGGTAGGGGACGAAGAGCGGCGGGGCGGAGCGGGCGGCCCCGCGCCCCTTGGACACGGTCGTCGGCGGCATCTACTCGGCTCCTTGTCCAGAATGCAGCTAGGGTTAGGGGCATCACGCCGTCGCCCGTGCTGGGATCCCGCCGCGCCCAGATCCAGCCGCCGCGCTTGGATCCCGCAGCCGGCGCCACCCGCGCTATGATGCCGGCGCTGCCCGTGCTGGGCATCCGCGTCGCTGTGAAGCCGAGAGAGCTGGAGTAGAGGAGAGGAGAGAGAGAGAGGAAGATAGAGAGAGATGAGTCAACAGGGATGGGCGCCCGGATCTAGCCGGCGCCACCGTCTGCACGCCCGGATCTAAACACCGCCGCCGTCCGCCGCTGAGAGAGAGTGAAAGAGAGAGAGAGGAGCAACACAGGAGGAGGGGGCTAGAGTCGGAGAGCGGACGTGAGGGCTCTCGGTCATATAGGCAAAGCGAATAATTTTTTCTGGTCCGTGGGACAAGTGACGCGGTTTTCTTTTTTCGGGTCCGTGGGACAAAGTAACTACTGATGTTATAGACGCGTCCCAACTACTAACTACAAACGCATGGTTAACTATCCGCTTTTGTGACGTATTGTCTAACTACTGACGTGTCCTATAAACACGTGTCTGTGGTAATATTACAGGCACTTGTTACCAACACGCGTCTATAGTAAGCGCTTATTACAGACGCGTGTTGACCCTGCTAGACCAACGACCCGTTGGCGATTTATTACATACGCGTGTTGAAAACGTGTGTCTGTAAACTCATATTATAGACGCGCGTTTGTGCTTGCGTCTGTAGGTGACGTGGTGGATATATGGCTTTTTTATATAGTGGTGGTTAAAGCGCGACCAGTCCCATCCAGGGGAAGCGTGCGACCCAAGGTACCTCCATGCGTAGGGAGAATTTTTATTTTTTAACCTTTTTATTTAATATTTTAATAATAATCGCTCAAAAATATTTTAATAATACAGTTGTCACGTCACATGTATTAGCGTGGCAATATATGCCACGTTAAATGGCGTTTCCGACATGAAAAACACTGTCACGCCTGGTCTGTCGCGCCACCGGGAGTGGCGTGATAAAATAAAAATTTTAAAAAATCATAACTCTTTGATACGACGTTGGATGAAGATAAAAGTTATATGAAAATTGTAGCTCTTCATGAGATCTGCAACTTTGTAGTTTTGAGTTTTTTCATTTAAGGACGTTAAGATTCTCAACAAAAATAATATAAAATTTCAGGAGCATAATAACCGCATACAAGTGCTTGTCACATTAGAAAAATAATATCTTTTTGTATGTTGTCAAATAAAGATACTTTTTACATGAAAATTGTAGCTCTCAATGAGTTCTACAACTTTGTAGTTTTGAGCTTTTATATTTGAGATAATTAAGATGTATAAAAACATATAAAATTTTAGCAGCATAATAATTGCGTACTAGTGCTTGTCGCATTTGGAAAATAATATCATTTTTGTATGGTGTCAAATAAAGATACATTTTATATCAAAGATACATTTTAAATTTCAGCGCAGCAGCAGCTCCCCCCACCCGCCTTAACCCTAACCCTAATCCTCATTCCGCCGCGCCGCTCGTTGCTCTCTTAGTCTCTCTCGCCTGCCGCATCCACCAGTGGCGAGTGTGAATCGAAGCTCTTGTCGTCGTCGGCCTCGACTCCGGTGATCTCGATCCACCTGCCGCCACTCCCCCATCTCACCCTGTCTCCTCCCTTCTCTCCCTATCTCTCCTCTCGCTCTCGGTGAACTATGTGAGTTCATGTTCACGTCTAGTCCTTCCTCCGCCGCTTGCCGTTGATTCTAATCGGTGTCTATCTGTCCTCTGGGTGGCCCTCGTCATCTCCGACACAGGGCTCCGATTGCACAGGTGACTCCACGAACCCTAACCCTAACCCTAGATCTGTGCCTCTGTTTGACTGTTTGTCTCTCTCACACTCTTGTCTCCTTTCTCCTCTATGTAGGTCGATTGCCGATGTCGCGTCTTGCTCCTCTGCATAGACATGGCTAGGCAGTCGCGCGCACTGTTGAGGAACGGTGCTGGAGATCAACCGTCCGCGGTCTAGGTCGCCATGGCGGAGGCGTATGACGATAATGTCGTCTATTCACTCACTGGCAACGATGACCTCAGAGCGGCAGGGCTGGTCCCTGATGGCGTCGACGACATCTGTGAGGACGCTGCTGCGTTGCTCGGTATCGATGTCGGTAGCGACTCTGCTCCGATCAATCTCGACGCCAGCAACCATGGTGGAGGGGCCGCGATGGCGATAGGGCTCCTGGTGAGCTCCACCAACATTGATGGTACCTCATCTATTGGTAAGCATAAATCTAGTGTCTAGGTTGATTTTGAAGAGATCTATGAGACTGTGAATGGTAACTCAGTTCAAATTGCTGCTATCTGTAGAATGTGTAAGAGTAGATTATATGCTAGATCTGCTGTTGGCACTGGTCATTTGATTAGGAACCAGAAATCTTGTAGGAAAAAGACTGATCACGCTGCTAGGGTCCAGTCTAGGCTTGCTTTGAATTCTGATGGTTTGCATAACTGGGTGCATGATCCTGTTGTTACTCGGAGTGAGTTTGTGTCGATTGATTGCTACGCTTGACCTTCTATTAGGCATAGGTGAGACACATCCCTGGGAGGACTACATTGCTCGTGCTCGTAACCCTAGGTTTGTCATGGTTTCTAGACAGACCACCACTAGAGATCTTAGTAAACTATTTACTGAACGCCATGATGTGCTTAAGAATTCTGCGTTGCTTGCTACTTCTTCTGTTGCTTTAACTTTAGACATTTGGTCTGGTAATGCTAAGGAAAACTATATTAGTGTTGTTGCTCATTATGTGAATGCTGGTTAGAAGTTACAGAAAAGTGTTATTGGTTTTAGGCTGATTGAGGTTAAACATTCAGGTGAAAACATTGCTGAAAGAATTGTTGTTGTTGTTGAGGAGTTTTGTCTAATTGACAAGATATTTTCTGTCACTCTAGACAATGTTTCTACTAATACTAAGGTTATGGAGACTTTGACACCTCTATTTGTTGGTTACTTGTGTTCTGATCCTGCACATACAGCTTCTAATCCTAATAAGCGTAAGTATAGTCTTGTGCATCAACGTTGTGCTTGTCATATCATTAATCTTATTGTAAAATCTAGATTAAAGAGGTTGAAACCTTTTACTGAAGATTTTAGAACTGTAATTAACTTCTTAAATTCCTCTAATCAAATAATTGCATTGTTCAAGGAATACTGTAATGCTAAGGGTGTTAGCCCTAGAAAGTTTGGCTTAGATATGGATGTTAGATGGAATTCTACTTACCTCTTACATAAACACTTATTTTCATACAAGAATATTTTTTCTGTGTTCATTAATTCCCATTATAGTTTAGAATTGTTGACTAGAAATTATTGGTATGTTGCTGAAAAGATATTGGAGTTCCTAGAACTCTTCTATGACTCTACTGTTGTTATGTCTGATGTTTATTATCCCACAAGTCTACTTGTTTTGCACCATATCCTAGAGATTGCTTCTCATTTGTATGCATGTGAAAGAGATCCAAATCTTAGAGCTGTTGTTGCTCCTATGAAGCTTAAATTCCTTAAATATTGGGAGAACATACCACTGTTATATTCATATGCATTCATTCTTGATTCTAGAGCTAAGATGAGAGGATTCTTTAATGTGCTGCAATTACTTGGTGAATGCACTGGTTTTGAGTACAGTTCATACTATGCTAATGTCAAAACTAAATTGTATAAACTGTTTAACAAATATGAGAAAAAGTTTGGTGCAGCTAGGTCTCAAATGGTTGCACAGCCATCAATTCATATAGGTAAGAAAAAGCAGGCATGGGAAAGGATGTTTGGAGACCGTGGTGGATCAGGATCAGGTGTTGTTGGTCCTTCCCCTATCTCTGCCACCTCATCTTCATCTACCTCTGCTGATTATGAGCTCTCAGCTTACTTAGATAGTGACAATATTACTTCTTATGAGGATGATTTTGACATACTTCTCTGGTGACGTGACCACAAGCTAACCTATCCAATCATGTCTATAATGGCTAGAGATATCATATCGGTTTCTGTATCTACTGTCTCTTCCGAGTCTTATTTTAGTTTGTCAGGCAGGATACTTGAAGAACGGCGGCAGCGCTTGTTGCCAGAGAATGTGGAGATGCTGACCTACATAAAGGATTGGGAGTTAGGAGCAAGAAGGGAACAACATGCTGTTGATAGCCTAGAGCTTGAGGAAGCATTCAAGAACTTGTACCTTGACAAAGAAGAAGGTAGCGGTGGGACTAGTGGTGCTTCTGCTACTTAGTGAGTTGAGAGTGGTATGAGTGAGTTGAGAGAGTGATCTGTGACTGTGAGAGAGTGATTGAGTGATCTATGGACTCACGGTAGAATTTGGCCCTTTGAAATATGGTTGGTAAGACTTCATTAAGACTAGAGTTGGCTGTACTCTTTTTTTCTTTCTAGGGTTTCTTATAAGGGTGAGTTTTATCTATGAAGGTTTTTATTGAGGCAGCATTGCACAAAACAACTCATTTATCAATTATCATATTTCTGTTATCTGATGGCTTCTCTGTTGACTTTGGAGTTCTGGACTTAGGCTGATTGAATGTGTGTATTTTTTGTTGGCTTTGGAGTTTTGGACTTAGGCTGATTGAATGTATGTATATGTATACCTCTATTTCTGTGATGTGAATGAAACTGTTAAATTCTTAAGTGTTGGATGAGACGAGTTTATTGTGGTGCTGTAAGGGTGCCGGGCTATGGGCTAGCACGGCCCGTATTTTTGTCGTGCTTAGCGAGCTGCCATGGCATGAAAAACGGCCCATAGGGCCATACCTAGGTCAAAGGCCAGGCACAAGGCACTAAGAGGCACAGCCTAGGAGGCATGGCGGCCCGTGAAGGCCTGACCCTCATAGGCCCGTGCCGGGCCGGGCCGGCCCGTTGGCCATCTATAGTCACGCTAGTGGGAGTGGTGTTATAGTGTTTTCCATATCGGAAACGCCGTCTAACGTGGCGGATGTTGCCGCGCTAGGTGGCGTGACAACCAAAAGGGTCAAATTCGCAAAAAAATTTTAGGGACCATTATTATTAAAATATTGAATAAAAAAAGATTAAAAATAAAAAAATCCATGTGTAGACAGTGCTATCGGACCCACGCGTGACAGTGCATGCTG